AGGCCTCGACTATGGCCGACGATCTCTTTGCTATTTCTACTAACTTTGAACGCTCTCTAGACGCTCTAAAAAAGTGTCTGGATCTCTACTCACAATTTTCAGAGGCCTTAGTCAACTGGTGGAAATCAGTGTGAAACAGGGATCGGGGTTGAGTGTGAATTGGGGATTGAGATGCTTACTTGTGAGTGAGTGTGAAAGATTTTTGGGTGTGCAGGTTGGAATGATGAATCCAAAGAGCCAAGCGAGCTCTATTATGGAAGGAAGAGTCCCGGCAAAGTTGGGGAAGGCGTCACCTCTATCAGGTGTATCCATTCAGGGCAGGGCCCTATTCCTCAACACATCGGTTTTCTCAAGCTTGTGGTATGCAGGAGCCATCAGACCAATGGAGAAGAGAGCATATAGCAGGATAAGAGGAACAGCCACAAGATACATGTGGAAAGGAACTACTGATGACTCTACAAGCTACTTACCGAAAGTAGCATTGAAAAAGGTCAGAAATGCCAAAGAGGAGGGGGGACTGGGTATCTTAGACCCAGAAATGCAAACAATGGCCCTTCTACCAAGGTGGGTCATTAAGCTTCTTTTTGACAATTCGGGCCACCCTTGGAAGACACTGGAAATCTCCATTCTGTCAGAAGCATGGGATCTGCAGAGGAGAGAAGACGTGGGGGTATGCTTACTCACTAACTCTTTCCTAAAGAAGAAGGAATCACTGGGTGTATGGTCTGATATTGTGCAGGCTTGGAAAAAAATTATTCCTGCTCAACATCAGGAACCTAAGACGGTGGATGAAATCTTAATGCAGCATATTTTTGAAAACAAATGGCTATGCGACGCTGCAGGAACGCCCTGGTCAGCAGAAGAGGAAGGCGGAACATTTGGCCACAAGTGGATTCAAAGGGGGGTCTCTAGGATTAAGGATCTGTGGAACTCGGATCTTAATCAGTGGAGATCCTATCTGGAATTGAAATCCAAACTACACAACCTTGATTTTGTGGAGGATAGGTATCAGGCAATTTTGGAGAGTATCCCTGATGAGTGGAAGGAGAAGGTTAGCAGACCGTTAGAATCTCTAGAAGGTAGCTGGATAGTGGAAGAGAAAGGGGGGGTCCCAGGTCCCTTTTGGAGAATAGAGGAGATCACGCACGATGGGGAGGTAATGGCGGAGTTAGGGTCGGTATCGATGAACAAGAAAGGAGGGATGGTCATGGACCCAGACAAGGAGAAAACCAGTATCATTCTCGATGAGAGGAGGATAAATCAGCTGGTAGATGTGAAAGTTGTGAATAAGGGAGAAAACCCAGTGTTAAGTCTACCTCTGGGAATAATAGCGGTTAGACAGCTGTTGGCAGTACCGTACCACTGGGGTTGGAAAACCCCAGGCTCCAGTAGCGTTGTCAACATTCTGGAATACAGACCCAAATTGGGCTACTCAGTGCAAACAAACACTAAGTCAGTGACCTTTGAAGTGAAAGGCCGATGGAATGCAGAAGGACAATCAGATTTGCAGCACAGCAGGCTGATCACAACCAAGGACATCAGAGAGCTCTGGAAGTCGCTGAAGAAGATACCTTCCGTCAAGTTCTCTAGCCTGGCTTGGTTACAATCACATAGGGCAATCCCGACGGCCAAGTCGCTGAGTCAAAGGAATATGCCGATTCCAGACCAGTGCTGCAGATGCAGAAAAGGGATAGAAACAGATCAGCACCTATGGTGGGACTGTATAGAGTCCAAACGTATCTGGATGTGGTGGAGTAATCACTGGGAGAGAATAGGTCCACAGGAAATACGTTGGGATAGGAATTTTATTTTGGAAGGAATCCTTCCTCAGGGCTTCTCCTTTTTGAAGGGGTGGGGTTATATAGCGGTGGCTGTGCGAGCAGCAATAATGAATGTCATTTTGAAGACAAGGAACGAAAGGCTTTTCAGGAAGAAGTTTTACTCAGATACTTCCATCCTCCAGATGGTGCTGGGGAACATACGAACCATGATCTGGGCGGACTGGAGGAAGTACAGTAAACTAGCCAAACCTGACTCAAAATACAGAAAACTGTTTAGCACATGGGGGAAGGACGGGAGATTGGTGTCAAGAAACAAAGAAGGGGGGGATTGTGTTATCCTCATGGCTGCTGGGTCCGAGACCCCCGTGAAGAGCCTAGAGTCCGGACATACCAAGCCTCTCCACCCTACTGCTAACCAGTCTTAAAGACGGACAGGAACCCAAATAGATCAGTCAAGACAGAACACATTTGGTTGGCACAGTATGGTTTCATAGATCTAGAGCTGTAACCCAAGGATTGGCCTTCTCAGTTGGACTAGGATACTAGGTCAGGTTCTGGCGCCCGAATGGGTGAAGAGGTCTTGAGAAGGCCATCCTCCCGCATGCAGTCTTGAGCACTCTGAACATAAAGAGATTTTCTTGGTAGGATGACAGACTAGGCGTAGCTCTAGGAATTCCGCAGCCAAGGAGCTGCTGGGTCTGTAGAAAAGACCTGCAGGC